TCAATGGATCAATTAAAGGATGATTGAGAATCTGAAGATGGTGTAATGGTATTCTCTCGAGGAGATGATGCAATGGGCGTTCTATTCAGTTGATGGTGGATGATCTGAAGATGCAGATACTAACTTTTTAGTATATATCTTACCCAGGCAAGCCCCGGTGCATAACCCATATTTTTTGCACTTTAAATTATATTTGTGCATTAAGTTTTAAGAAGTTGAATGAAACTAGTATGACAGGATCGTGTAGATTGCTATGCTACAGGACTCCGGTAGAAGTCAAGTGATTGTCTGTCACTCGTGAGAGATAGAAAATATATTACTGTATTATTATCACTTGGAATATATAATGGTGAAAGGAAAAATAGAGACCGGGCAGGGATATGGTTTGGGTATTGGTGGACGTAAGATGCCAACGGGACATAGCTTGGTTACACTGTTTTCCCTGTCTGTGTCGGTTAAGGACCAGCCGTTGTATTGGACTCTAGACAAGTCACAGACTTATTATCCCGAGCACATACTTAGGTATGGAGGCAGGGAAGATTTGTTACTCTCTTGTCATGGATTCTGGCTCTTTCTGGACCGACTGTTAGGGTGGTTTTTAGGTGGAGGTTCTTGCACCGCACTGAGTCCGGGACTCAGGGGCGGGGGCTTGGAGTCCTAGTTTGGACGAGGACCTGAACCCCGTGACAGGAGGATAGTGGGTTGGTCCTGCTTGTGCCTGGGGTATAAGCGGGGCGTTTGTTTTGGGGTACCCAACTGGGCTCATTGATTCGTGAATCGCCGCCGTGTCGGTACGACTTGTCTAAACTCTAGTACCGTAGTAAGAACTGGAAGTTGAAAGATGGTAAAAGGAAATCTGATTGATTACCACATGCTTGAAAGTAGCACAGGTGCTTACATTGAATGGTTAGTTAATGAACTAATGCTGACGGCTAATAAAATTTAATATAAGGATGCACATTTAGTAATGCTCCTGCAGATACAATAAACCCACAAGCCAGATAGCCTTATATATTCTTGGAGTCTTTTTTTTCTCCTATCGGGTAAGTCTTGCTGAGTACAATTGAGTACTCAGGCTTTTATTTCCCCCTGTTGCATGTGACAGACGGATGCTAGAGCTGACTCTTTTGTGTGGATTCCTCCTGGTGGGCTCAGAGAGAATTCTGTTACGCTGCGATCATAATTTTTATTTATAACTCTCACCAATTATTTTTATAAATAGAAGTTCTATAATCTATGGTTATAGTTTATATACCAATGCTTCATCATGCCATGAATAGATATTTATTTTCGCTATAACTCTGTTCACATGTTTATATTCCGCTGTTAAATTAAATTGTTCCTAACTCTAATAATATGTTCATATTTCGCTATTATAAATAATAAATATTATACTCTGATGTGACATGGAAAGTGATGTAAGAAATGACAATAATGACGTGAGCTTTATCCTCTCATTTGTGATCCTGATGAAAAAATGTGGATTTTCAAGATCTTCCCTTAGGTGTGCCCGACGGAACTGCGTGATTTGGTGTCCTTCCTTGAGTACTTAGTGTCTAATGGAAGACAAGTACTCCTAGGAGGCATTAGATTTGACGGTTCTGCCATAGTTGCAGAGGTGCAAACCATCGGCCGCCTTCGTAGATGATGAGCTGGCCATGAGGTTGCTCGTCGGTGGCGCGGTGAAGCCCGACAATGAAGGCGCTATCGCGGTGGCGACGGTGCAGAGGCGGCGGTGGCCGGTGGCGGTGGCCGGTGGCCGGTGGCGGTCTTCCCGTCGCTGGTAGCACCCCCTCTTAGATCGGTTAGGGTTTAGGGACTGTAGGTGGGGCGTCTGGCGGCTCAGGTGAACCTCATGCCTTGTGCCCTGCCCCCACCTCCCTTTTTATGGCGCTATGCGATGGGGGCCCACCAACCATGGGAACAGTTGGGCGCCTCTGATCAGGGCGCGAATCCAAGGGCCCAATTGGCCCAATTGGTGGAGATCATCTAACAGGCAGAGCATGGCACTGAAGACAGAGCGGACCGGCTTGGAGCAGGGCATGGACGCGGAGGCGGCTCAGGGTGGTGGTGGGCTTGCGCTCGTGGCTGGCTTGGTGGCGTTGCATAGCGAGGAGGAGGAGGTCGGTGGCGGGCTTGAAGTGGACGCGCGGCGCAGCTTGGTGGCGCGACGGTGGAGACACGGGGACGAGGCAGGGCGTGGAGGCGGTGCTGTGGCGTGGCTGCTCGGGCACGGTGGCGTGGCACAGCAAGGCGCCGGCGGCGTTGCGGGCTCAGGGCAAGGCCGAGATGGCGAGGAGAGGCGAGAGGAGTGGCGATGGAGCAGCGATGGCGGATTGGGGAGCAGCAGAAGGAGCGGCGGTTGCTGGGGCTTTTATAGCTGCATCTAGCTAGGGTTCAAAGGGCGCTGTGCACTGTGGACGGCGATCCTTGGCGTCCGTGCAGTGGAGGGACACGCGGCGTGCATCGGGAGGCGGAGGAGGTGGGGGTCAGGTGGAGTCGCGGTGTAGGGGAGCACGGCGGCTCGGGCCTGTGGGACCGGGTGATGTGCTGGCGGGCCCGCGGGGGCCGGAGCTCGGGCCTGCGGGGGCCGGTGGGCTCGTGGGCCGCGTGCGCTTGCAGGCCAGCGTGAGGCGCTGGCGTTGCGACTTGGCCAGGTGGGCCAGCGTTGCTGGGTTGCGCGGCGGAATGGGACAAGGCGAGGAGGCGGCTTGGGCTGCTAGCAAGGCAGGCCAAAGGGAGGAGGCGGGTTGGGCCGCAGAGAAGGGAAGGAGAAGGGGAGGTGGTGGCCCAAGGAAAAAGGAAAATGGTTTTCCCATTTATGACTTAGAGAAATAGAGAGGGAGTCAAAGGGATTTGAAGGGAATTCAAATAGAGGAATGGAGGGAAAAAGGAAAAGGGAATTTTCCTTTTATGAATTTACGACTCAAAGAATTTATAGGGGTTTGAAAGAGTTCGAGAGAAATTCAAAGAGAGGAGGAAAGGAATTTTCTAAATCCTTGCTGGGCAGAAGATAGGGGGGTTTCCCATTTCCGATAAGATGATGAGAGGGAATTCAAAAGGGATTGAGATAGATTAAAAATGATTTGATATGGATTCAATAGGGAGTTGGGAGGAATCCCAAAAAGGATCCGAGGGGAATTGCTACGGATTTGTGCACTCCAAATTCCGAACAAACTCGGACACAAAACCGACTCAAGAGCACGGGCACTCTCCTACAATCAATTCTATATGGATGCAATGTTTTGTTAGCGGGTTGGACTTAGGTTCGATGTAGCGACTATATGATCCACACAAAGTTTGTATTTTTGGTTACACAAAAACCTGGAATGTTACAACACCTATATAAACAATCACCCAAAGCCTCGGATGAAGTAAGATAAGATGCATCTTCATTTGATATGCCCAATCAGTATAGTGTACCGTATCAAAATGAGGCGCTTTACCGGTATTGAGCAGAGCCAAGTGCATATTAGGAACTTTAGCAACTTGACAATAATCAAATTGAACTCTAGCAAACCAATCTCTTGAGTATGTTCTGTGATTAAAAAAAATATCCTAGAAAACTTGGTGTTCTGGTATTGGACATGCACTTTCTCTGTGTGTCTCCAATCTCCATGCAACGTATTTTAATTGGAAAACTTAACCGTGGCATCCCTCTTCCTGTAACAAAACATGGGTACTAAAGTTATTTCTGTCCTCCATTAATCTGTACAGGTAATTCAGCAAACAAATGGTACAGGAAATTTCCTATTACAAAACTGAGGACTGAACATGGCACACATATACGGCTCAACAACCATGGCTCTGTTTTTCTTTCCCCCTACTAATTTCATCGCAAACTGTGAAGCAAGAATTCTCAGTCTGACTTTCCCGGCCTCAAGAAAGAAACCGAGACCAGCGTCTTTCTAGCATGGTACAGCAGGCCGGTGAGGCACACGGTCATTCCGATCCGGCGATCGCCGGACTCGGGTATTCGCGGCTACTGTAGCTTTCGAGCATAGCCGTAAGCCTGTAAGTTTCGTTGGCAGATAAAAACCGATATCGACACAGTTTTGTTGTCTCCTCGATCTGGTCACCACCAATAATCCTGCTCCGTGTACATGGCCACTAGTAGCCCACTACCATATATTACACGTGCTCATTGACATTGAAATAAATTTCTTCCATATAATGTACTGTAGAGTGGGATGGATTTCTCTCCTGGACGTACACAGCATGCCAGCACCTCTGGTTGAAAACAATTTTTCTATCTCTGTCTGTTTATCTATCTGTCAGCTTATTTGCTGGCTTATAAGTCATGCTACAATATTTTTTTTTAAAAAAAATCAGCTATACAAATCAGCACCAGCGGCTTTATAGCCAGCCGAACACTCTCTGGTTATCTAGACTAGAGTACTCACACCGTTCCAAAAAACAAGTATACATATATCGTTTTTTTGACAATTTATTTTTAATTTAATTTTCATATAGATATACTATACTTTTAATATATAATGAGTATTATTATGAAATGTAACTATTTTGCTTGTCTCTGTCGTTCTCCTCTCTACGTCGTTGTGCCTGCTCTTCAACGGGCAGCACCCACGCGGCTGATGTCATCGATATGTCCGATCGAGCAGGGCTGCAGGGGCACCCACCAGCTGATTCGCAACCCCAACTCCTGCTTTTATCCTCATCGTCCTCACCTCCAGCTCCAGGCAACAGTACACCGTGTGAACACAGGCATGCATATCACATCCCCTATTGGCGCCGTTCGCTGGTCTGATTTTTTCAGACCAGTCAGCTGTTTCTCTCATATATCACTATGCATCTTTCAACTGTTACAGTATTTCTCTCATACACAACCAGCCGCTAGTAATCCTGTATAGTTGCTGCGGATTTGTCCTTCTGTGTGATCACGTCGGTCGGGCTCTCAAAGCATATATACCGCTTGGCCTACGACCGGCCGGCGGCTAGTCGGCGTGCATAGGATCCTCGCCCTGCTGCTGACGACGAAGATGGCCAGCTCCTCCGGCGACCTCACCAACGGCGGCGGCGCCACCGCCAGTGCCCCGACGATGACGACGACGAAGCTTCTGACCATGTTCTACAACGGCGGCGTCGCCGTGTTCCATCTCCCTCAAGATAAGGTCCATGCATCCCAATGGCTTTCGTTCTGTGTGTACGGTCGACCAGTCTTGCCTCGCTTTCTCTCATGCCTTGGCGTGTGTATACATCCAGCAATGGCGACAGGCGGAGGCTCTCATGAAGATGGCGGCGGGTGATGAGGACGGCGGAGACGACGGCCGCCGCCACCGGCGGCCAAACCACGGCGAGGAGTTGCTCGCCAAGTTGAGACAAGGTAATAGTAGTAGACGATTATTATTAATCAAGTCTAGCTAGCTGTTTACATACAACTATCTACAATTTTCTTTGTAGCCTCCAAATAATAAACATACTGTCAGATTTTTAGACAGCCTGTATTTTATTTAGTGAAGATGCATGGATTATATATTCCACGATTACTACTTTTCTTTTTGCACTTATGTAAAGTCTAGTGCATGTCACTATGTCATATAGTACATGTGCATGCTTTGGGAAATGAAAAGGGCAAGGGAATAATAGCCTTTCTTGTTATGTCGCGCACGCAGAGATGATGCCCATGGCAAGCAAGAGATCTTTGCAACGCTTCTTCCAGAAGCGCAAGGAGAGGTACGCATGCATATGCACCTCATTTCCTGTACTATATTACATTTTGGTCGTTTTGGTTTTTTTTTTGACACACAACTTTCATTATGTATCTAGACACATATCGTATTTTAGGTGCATAGCAAAGTTATGTATCTATGAAAGTCAAAAAAAGATGTCTAATTTGGAACTGGTGATGATATATGTGTAGGTCTCATCATGAGTTTACTGTTCTAAACAAAGCTAGCTAGCTCAAACTACACTGACAAACGAGTGGTTCTTTTTTTTGTGAGGGAAACAAATGATAAGTTGTTATTTTGTTTTGTTGCTTCTAGTAGTGCAATTGTATAAAATTAGTCAATAAGAAAGTTTAATTTTGAACAACTTTAAAGTTAATTTTTTATTGACATATGAGAAAGTATATAACAAACGAGTACTCCATCAATTCTAAATTATAAGATGGTTTGACTTTTCTAGATTCATAGCTTTTATTACGCTTGTAGATAAATGTTGCATCTAGATATACAGTGAAAGTTATGAATGTAAACATGCCAAAACGTCTTATTATTTAGGGCAGAGGAAGTATTTTTTTTCAAGGAAACAAACAAAGAAGTTGTTAATTTTGATTTGTCATGCATGACAACTGTAGTACATTTGTTTTGTTGCTTCCACTAGTATACACAGTATAATAGCAGCGTACTCTAAGTAAGGCCCCGTTTAGATCCAAAATTTTTTGGATTTTGGCCACTGTAGCACTTTCGTTTTTATTTGACAATTAGTGTCTAATTATGGACTAATTAGGTTCGAAAGGTTCGTCTCGCGATTTCTCACCCAACTGTGTAATTAGTTTTTTTTCGTCTACATTTAGTACTCTATGCATATGCCGCAAGATTCGATGTGACAGATACTATGCAAAATTTTTTGGCTTTTGGGTGACATCTAAACGGGCCTTAAGTAGTAATGACATGAACCCATCCAGTAGTAATGGCGGCGTGAAGCACGTTTGCGTTGACCAAGCAATTGGTTTTCGCGCACCGGAGCTGACTGCAACATGACAGCCCAACCTTGTTGATTCCATCGACGTCCCGTGACTCGTGAGCCAATGAAAGAACAAACTGTGGGAGTTCCTTCCAGTTCGTCCTCGGATGAGGCCATGAGGGCAAAGAGTTCCGTTTGACGTGAACTTGAGATTCCTTTTCTTTTCGTTGCAGTTTGTTACGTTCGCTTGACTGATAAGCCATGGCTGAAACTAATATTGTTTGATTTGTTGTGAGAGAAAAATACTATTTGTTGGTTGAAAAAGTACGCCTTATAAACAAAGCGAACAGGACGAATTAACCAACAGTACTTTCAGCCATGACTTTTCAGCCATGAAACAGGTAAATCTCTTCTAGTCCCCTTCATCGCCCCAAAGACCTTTCCTTTCAATAACTAATTTATTTAGGTCAGGCCTAGCCTAGGAGGACGCTAGCCACGCAATAATTATTGTGCCATTACTTCAATTCCTTCGGGACCTTGTTATTTCTTGTTTGCTTAGTGCATGTTTAGTTTCCAAAATTTTGTAAATTTTTTCAAAATTCTTCGTCACATCGAATCTTTGGACACATGCATGAAGCATTAAATATAAATAAAAAATAAAACTAATTACACAGTTTAGACGAAATTTATAAGACGAATTTTTTAAGCCTAATTCGACTATGATTGGACACTAATTGCCAAATAACAACGAAAGTGCTACAATACTATTTCCCAAAAAATTTCCTCAAATAAACAAGGCCTTAGATCCAAATCTCTCTAAAACATATATAGAGAGATTCAGAGCAATTCCAAGAATCTCTCTAACATTAAATTTTATTATGTTTAATTAGAGGCTCATTTTATGAATACTCTTTATATATCTCTCGTGTCTCCATGAACAGTCTCTATGTTCCAATAACTCATCATAATTTTTCTTGTGTGAAAAAAAGTCATGAGAGAACTAAGGACGTGTTGGGATCACCGGACTAAAGTTTAGTCCGTCATGAGATAATAGGCACATAGACTAATTAAAAAAGTCTAATGAGTTCTAGCCATCAATTAGCCTCTTTTAGTTCTTATTAGTAGTCCATGATTAGTTCATATTTGTCATTCTATTTTATCCAAAACCACAACTAAAATTTAGTTTAGGTGATTCAAATATCCCTTATAACATATATGAATTCAGAGAGCGATGTAGCGCAAGAAGGGTGGTTTTAATTTTTTTGTTTTATTTTCGAAATTTGGTGATAAAGTGTCATGTCTCTTGAAGATGCTCTTATCATGTGCCACCACCAACAAGACGTTGCGGTCGTTTGTCGTCATCAATTCCTGCTGGCACACTGTGTTCATAGGTCAAGTATCAGTATAGGACATTTTCAAAAAAAAGAGAAAAATGTCAGTGTAGGAAGTCTAAGCTACCATGTATACTCCGTTATTTCTGTGAGTACACGATGCAAAAAGATAATTTACATGTTTTGACCCCAATGCAGTTAGGGGATTGTAACTAACATGTGGTAAAACTAGTACTCCCTCCGTTCCAAAATAAGTGATGTTCTAGTTTTGTCCTAAATCAAACCATTTCAAGTTTGACCATATCTATAGACAAAACATCAATGTTTATGTCGGGTATCGATATTAGGGATACCCAAAGCAAGGGAGTTAGCGTCCACACTGACTTCCCCGAACAAAGCAAGACGTATTAACATGTCTCGCCCGACCCCTTGGGTACGGGCTCCGTCTCACCCGACCCCAAGGACGCAGTTTCCGTCTCACCCGACCCCGAGGCTGTGGGGTCTCGCCTAAGGCCGCGGGCTTCGCCTCGCCCGACCCCAAGGCCGCGGGCTCCGTCTCGCCCGATCCCAAGGACGCGGTTTCCGTCTTGTCCGCTCGAATCATGGGGGTCTCGCCCAAGGACGCGGGCTCTGTCTCGCCTGACCCCGAGGCCGCGGGTTTCGTCTCGCCCGACCCTTGGGTGCGCGCTCTTTCTCGTCCGACCCCCAAGGGTTGCGGGCTCCGTCTCGCCTAACGGGGACCCATATCGCCGCCAACCACTCTAGGTCCAGGCGTATGGGCCTGGGTCAAAACTCTGACACTAGGGAAGAGACAGGCACGACTCGATGTAACCTGAGGCCATGACGAGCCATACCTAAGGATTCACATCAAGAACAACGTCGGGCATACCGGTGCTGTTCTGCCTAACCTTCGTACAAACACTAATAGGCGCGTCAGTTCACCACGACGTCCGCCAAGACGGGATGGAACGCCATGATCGGCAGATGACGCCTACGCATGGCGCGAGTGACGGACAGGGCCACGACGTGGAGCCATCCCTGTTGACATCTACAGGATCAACGTGACCCGCATGAAGGAGAAAAAGGACCTGGCGATCCTAGAAACCTTCTCTCTCGTTCTTCTCTTTTTTCTCCGCTGAAACCCGCGCTTTCCCTTCGCCTATAAAAGGGGAAGCTGGGTGCCCCATGAAGGGGGATTCGGATCCGTACAAGACCAAACCGCGAGATAAAAACACAAAAGCACGACACAAGCACACGGCTGAGCAGCGATCGAGCTCTCAGCACCCGTTCATTCCTTTCACTAGAGACTTGGGATCCTTTCCCTCTCTAGCTTGTTTGTAACCTCTACTGCAAACCAAGTGCTCGTAACATGAGCAACGGCAAACTGGACATAGGGACATTCCGCCCAAACCAGTATAAACCCTTATGTCCTCCGAGCACACCATTCGAGCCAGACGTGCAAATAAAAATTTACTTGTCGGTGGTCTGAAGACACCGACAGTTGGCATGCTAGGTAAGGGATTTTTGAGCGTCTCGACGTCCACAACAGGCCTTGGATGGCTAGTCATGGCGTCAGCTGGGTCCCGGGCGCGCACGTGCACTTTGGGAACCTGGACTTCATCGTCACGACGGGGCGAGAGTTGGTGCAGGCTCCCATCACCGTCCAACCTCTCCACTCCGCCGGCCTCGACACGATCATCGAGGCGCTTGAGGAGCTACGATTGCACGCACCAGAGGCCCATGCCCCTTAGAGCGACCAACTCCTCGGCTTCGATTACGGGAGGCTAGAACGCCAGCTCGGCGCCTTTCTGGGACCTCCACCGTCCCGGGAGGACCTAGGCCGCCTCACCTTCTCATTTGCCAACGTCATGACGTGGCTTGCCGGAGGAGAGCCGCTTTCCTCGAAATACCTCATCCAGAGCGCCCCGACAGCGCTCCCGTTCGGTATACGCAACGCCACCAAGACCGTTGGCCATCTTGTGGCGCAACGCACTCTCCCATCCCCCACGAACGATGAGTTTGTGGGATGACCGAATATGTCACGGAATCTTTCCATGACCTCCTCGCAGGAGAATCAGAGTTGCCCTCCAACTCTGACTCTAGCAGGGGGAGCCATCACCCCTCTCATGAATGTTTCATGGCAGGTACTCCCGAGGGGCACGTCGAAAGCATTCATGAGGGAGAGGCTACCCCAACGAACAACTTTGATGATGAGGTCAAGGGGGATGCAGGGGACCCACCTCGCCTGTGGATAGAGCAGCTAAAGGCCTAGCACCAAGAGCTTGAGGAAGCACGACTCCAGCTCGAGCAGGAATGCGTGGAGCTCAAATGAGAGATCGAGCGCCACGGAGACGGTGGGCGTGCGCGCGCTGTGGCCCATGACATGAACCATAGGATCATCGAGGATGACAAAGCCCTCCCACACTTCACCCGGGCAAGCCAGAACATTGCTGTTGCGGCGGCCTTGCTACGGGGGCTTCCGGGGCCTGTGACACCCGAGGATCGTCGGGTCCATTGAGAGATTCGCACACTACGCGAGATCAGTACAAGTCCTCAGTCCGCTACGAGGAGCTAGAACAAACCGGTGATGGGCCACCTGCTCTGGGGTGTGCCAGCATTCATCTGCGCCATACCCGGTCGAAGGGTTACCCATACATGCGTCTGGCGACATCCAACAAGGGATGGCACTTGCAGTGGTTTTATGTTAGGGATGACGCGAGTGCCACCCTACCAAAGTATACTGGACGTCTTATTGTGGACGTTCCAGAGTCGTGGGGCTGGGGCATCCAGACCAAAGATAAGAAACACATCTCTGACCTTCTTTCCGCCCTCCAAGCCCTGAAGGGTCGGGGTGTAAAGGGGACAGGGATTATCGGTGCCTACCATGCTAGGAGGGTGGCGCCTCTGATGGCGCGTGTGCTTCCCCTGCATCGGATGATGCC